AGYRGYRGTAGTATGCATAGCACTACTRCTACTAGAACCACTTGTTGGTGAAGTGAGGGATGCTTCTGAAGTACTGAAGCTATAATTAACAATAGTAGAACTACCAAAATGTGAACTGGTGGTGAATCAATTCAGCAGCTGACATTCTGGCTCAAGGGAAAAGACATTTCCTTCTGCAGTACCGTATGACAATAATGGTGTTGTCAAGACGAAGTATCATTAGACTCTTTGACAGACAAAGCAGTACGTACCATTCGACTTCATGCCGTATTTCTTTTTCCAAAAAACAAACCAAATCCGTTTGGAACGAGTTTCTACTACCAAAAAGTTTTCGTCGAAAGTCTTTTTTGTGCCCACTCATCTCCATACCTACTCCGACTAGTAATCTATTGTTTGACAAAACAATAATTGTTGTGAACAACGGCATRAATATTTCGACGAATGCCCGATTSAAAATATATCATTCCAAAATATCAATAGTGGTACGATTCGGTTCCGAGTGCACAACGAGCTCACGCCGGTCTCACATTATCATAATCATTGGTATTTCACACGAAGAATGAACCCATCAATCCGTCTGCGTCCTCACATGGAAGCTGGATGCCGTGCTGCAACAACACATGGATTTGCTTACAATTTGTTTTCCAACGTGGCTAATCACCAACTGGCCTTTCACAATTCCTAACATAATTTCCCSTGCGAGTCAGCCCCTTCAAAATACGATAAGTATTGARTTTCGAGTTTCCGCCCGTTGTGTTCTCGTTATTTCTGAATCATGTATCCGAAGGAGCCGTTGCCATTGCAAATACGCAGGTCTAACAAACCCGAGGATCCGCCGGGAAAGATAGCAGTAAGAAGTTCTTCGAGTTCGATGTGCGCTGCGAAAATTGTCACGAAACGTGATGAAAAACCAGGCGACAGCGATATTCCTGCGTCGCAGTGTCCCTCCCTGGAAGAATTTATCAGATTAATGCAAGCGAAAGTATCCCACGAAAGCAACAATGCTGTACCAGCCGCAGCCGAGTCTTCTTGCTCCGAATCGGGGGATTCCTCGTGCGCAGGAAAAACGGAATCTTCGTGGAGTTCCGCCTCCAGCTTTGACGATTCGGAGGACGGGGGATCGGAGGCAGTGGAACCACGGCATATAGCACTSATGAAAACAGCCACGGTCGAAGAGACATCGGCAAACAGCAATATCAAGTACAACAAAAACCAGAAAGGGTCTAGGCTAAGAAATAAAAATGACTACGGTGACAAGAAAATAAGCGGACGCTACACCAATTACCCTTCGGAAACGAAGAAAAATTTCTCTGATACCAGCGCCATGAAAAAGGGTAGCTCTCCCGCGATTTCGAATGCCAAAGCGACACTTGATTTATCGAGCGCTCTTCGGGGTTGCAAATCCAGTGCGTCTCTGGATCTATCCGACGCCTGCAAGAGATATAGAGAAGCCGGCCCTGGCGTGTCCGGGCTTGGCGCCAGGGCTTTCCGACGCCAAGACGATTGGGTAGGCGGCAGTGCCAACGAGTTGAACGTTCCGGAAGAACGATGGAAGGTCAAGGCCACCGATAGATCTCGCTCCAATAGATACTTTTGAGGCGTGGCACCAGAGTGAGATGCTACTGTGAGACGTAAGTATCTCAAACATCAGTCTTCCATCTGCTCCTGCCCTTCTACCATAATCAGCCCAAGGACACACCCCTTTTGACAATGCCGTGATCGTTAGACAATCAAAAGACGAATAAAACAGTCCTCGGTCGGTGAAAAGCACAAATCTATCAGTTCCAGACTATTGTCTCGAAAAGATCAACTAAAGTGATTCTAGTGATCATGTTGAGAAAAAGCTTTTCGTTTCTTTTGTTATTTAACATTGTAAAACAATTCTTTTTTAATACTTCTACCAGACAACCGTGGATGCTGTGCACCTATTTAGCTATTGGCAATTGAATTCCAATCTTTGTCATCCAATGCGAACCAAGTAAATTGTATTTTTACCATTCCATTCATTCTGGTCCTCCTGCGACCATTCTGTTCGGGAAATTTTTCGACAAATATTCTATATCTTTAATACTCTAAAATTGGGAACCATCGTGTGCAGTACGTATACCAAAAATTGGGAAGCATCGTTGCTGCGTGAAAGCTTGGTGTACAGTACGTATACCAAACAACTAGTACGAGCTCGAAACGATTTTTTCGCTGAGTCTCACATTGAAACATTTTTCATTGCATCGCGAATGTGGGTGATGGGTTTGGCCAGATTCCCGGCTGTCTTCATCTGTTTGCCTTTCTCGGTAGCAACTAGAATGTTCGGGTTGGCAACCTTGTTGGAATGATCTTCGTTCTTGTAAGGGGTAAATGTAATAGGAGCCGCAAGATCTTCGCCGCTTTTGGCAGCATCGCCTACCTCGGATCGTCGCAGCCGTCCTTGGTTGGCAACATAATTGGAATGATCTTTGTTCTTGAAGGGAGTGAATGTGATGGGTGCAGCTAGATCCTCGCCACTTTTCACAGCCTCGCCTATCTCGGATCGTCGCAGCCGTCCTTGGTTGGCAACATAGTTGGAATGATCCTCATTTTTGAAGGGAGTGAATGTGATGGGTGCGGCTAGATCCTCGCCACTTTTCGCCGCCTCGCCTACCTCAGATCGTCGCAACCGTTCTTGGTTGGCAACATAATTGGAATGATCCTCATTCTTGTAGGGAGTGAATGTGATGGGTGCGGCAAGATCCTCGCCACTTTTCACAGCATCGCCTACCTCGGATCGCTTCAGTTTCCCTTGGTTGGCAACATAATTGGTATGATCCTCGCTTTTGTATGGAGTGAACGTGATCGGGGCCGCGAGATCTTCACCGCTCTTTGCAGCTAGGCCGACCTCGGATTGGCGAAGTATTTCTTGGTTCGCGACGTAGTTCGTATTGTCTTCGTTTTTGTATGGAGTGAACGTGATCGGGGCCGCAAGATCTTCGCCACTCTTCACCGCCTCTCCAACCTCTGACCGTTTCAGCATTTGTTGATTGGCAACTTTGTTTGAATGATCCGTATTTTTGAATGGGGTGAAGGTAATTGGTGCCGCCAGATTTCCACTGCTCTTCATGGTATCGGCTCTCCCCGTTTTTTTGAGTTTCAATCCTCCCCTGGCCCAGGACGGCTTTTCCCAGAGCCCATCGTCCGACATTGTCAATCGTTTGCTTCTAATGTACTTCCGAAGCACGCTTAAATTCGAAACAAAACAATTCGATAACAACCTATCAATAGTAGGTTTGATTTTGTTCGAGAAACGTTGCTGAGAAACTCCAACTTCTGACTTCCGTCCTATTATAAATTATTCCAGTGAAAAAAGCTAACAGACAGACGACAGATCTGCGCTACCGATACTTCATCTATTCCTATCTGGTTCTTGTCCTATACATCAAGCTTTGTGGTTATTGATCTGTAGAAAAGCAATTATCAGATTGAATGAAGCATCACCGCAGCAATTATGTCGTCGATGATCGAGCGTGTTTGGGTGAAAGTGGAAGGTTTAAAAAAGTTGATTTTCGAAGAAGAAAATACCGTATTTGAAATTCCAGGTAAGTGAGTGGGTTTTTAACGAGGTTCTTACGTACGAAGTACTCTTCTAAACATCGGTCATCGTACGGAAGGTACATTGCGATATTCTACGGCAAACTCACAACTCACACAACAAGACTTTGTTAGGGTCATTCATTTCAACGACGATTCGACTTATACCTAAAAATAACTTCGATGTTTAAAGGGTTCCAACAGTCATTTTGATAAGCCGCTACTACTTGCACACCATGATAGCTATTAATAATGTAACATTGGAGGCTATTTTAGATAAGTATTGCTTGATTTCTCATACTATTGGTCATTTTTATTCAATAGAGGTGCTGCTTGGTACCATTGTCAATCCAAACTTTAGATTCTATGGGCGGTGCTGTTGTTGGTGGTACTACTATTTTAAATGTAAAATACTAATAATAATTTTTATTACGTGCATGCACATTTCTAGTTTCAGTACTGGTTTTATGTGGTGTTGTACATGGTCAGATTTGTTGGGAAATGAATGAAACTATTTGATGAGTGTGAAGCAGCATTCTTATATTGTGTCTTCAACTTTGATGATGCCCCAGCCAAATCCCCCCCCCCCCCCTCGCATAGACGGGGGGCACCTCCTGTTAATAAAGAAGAAGAGAACACCAGCAGTTTACTATGAAGTAGAAAGTTTCACCAAAATTTTAGCCAAATTGCTGTCCAATTCTACAAAAACACATACCATTCCACCATCCTCCAAATGTCTTGATCTCTGCTGAGAAACCTCCTGCTTGTTTTTTCTGCATACCCATCATGGTGGTATTACTAGTACTACTACTACTAGGTAGTACTGCTAGTAGTAGTATCTCCTATCTCCTGCCAAATGTCTTGATTTCTTTCCACTAATTTATATCTACTAAGCCCCCTGATTATCCACCATCTTCCCATTTAATAGTCAAGCTTTTCATGGGAAAAATCAAATTTTTAAAACATCACATCTTCCTAGAAACCCACTCAAGTTGTTGTAGTATTGCATCCAGTCATAATTTTAGTGATGGTGAAGAACTTTGCAAAGGGAGAAGTTGTTGATTAATTGGGTATGTTTCTTCCTCCAATTGAACTGGTGACAGTGTTTCAAGGAATCACAGTGTAGCAGTTGCTACATTTGTGTGTTTGTGTTGCGGTTTTTATATTCATTGGTGTTTTTTTTTGGGTGACCTCTCCCCCCTGCACACAATTATTTTCATTACTCCTCCTTGTTGTGGAAAAATATTCACAAACATACTACTAGTAAAAATGTTTGGTATGAGGGCTATAAGAGGTATGATGGACATGCCCCAAAAGTGGGTTATCTTTCTTTTAGTGGTGCAAACTTGCCCCAAGAACCCTGTCTGAATAATTCTTCTCCACCTAAAACTCCTGGGGTTTTAAATCCCATGAATTGTTTCATTAGAAAAATAATGCATGACACAAACCAGGAAATAACCCATGAGCCAAACAAATAATGCTTCAGCAATTTGCAACATTATTGGGACAACTATCAAACATTAGGAGTAGTAGTACTAGTAGTAGTACTCAAATAGTAGAAGTAGTAGTAGTACTCAAACATTTGTAGTAGTAGCTAGTACTAGTAGTACATTATTCCTTATCATTTGTGAACTACAAGCAATAATGAGATATTCTTGTCTAGAAGTAGAGGGATATATTAGTAGCATCACTCTTGCTATTCAGATGTAGCAAACATGATACTAAATCAAATACTACTAGTAGTACTAGTTCAATTGATAGACAAAATGATAGAAATATTATTCAACATTGTGAACTACCAGAGGAAGAGGTATTACTTCAAAAAAGAAGAGTCATAGTACTACTACTACTACTAGTATTAATCATAGTAGTTGCGCTGTTAGGGGAACCAGCAGGAGGCACTACTAAAAAGTAGTTCAGTTAATAGTAGAAGAGGAGGGGGGGGGAAGTATAATGGACTCCTGAAGTTCATCAAAAATAGAAATCAAGTGGGAAGGTAGTAGAAAACATAAGCATTGTTCTTCCCAGTACTTCTACTAGACACAGTAGCAGGAAGTACAAAGAAAAAGTCTAGTTTTTTTGGAACCATTCCATGTCACTCCTTGTTACCTATTACTGAAAAGAGGTGCTACTAGCATCATTACTGTTATTACCAGTACTATTAGCACTAGTAAACAACTGGTTGGCAGAAGCAATGGTGGTGAATTGGTGCAACACCCCCAGGAATCCAACAATACTAATAAAGAAATAAAAGAATGGAAGAAGCAAAGAACAGGACAAGAGAGAGAGAGAGAGAGAGAGAGAGAGAGAGAGTAGAATGAACAACTACATAAAATACTCTACTTCTTGTAGTATTAGAAAGAACTACCTCTAGTACTAGTACTGCTACTAGATATCCAAGATGAATATTTGAGTTGGTGCTGTTCTTGACTAGACCAGTTTAAACCATGGTGGCACTGTACCACCATTTTATCATGTGCTGGTGATCCACCCCTACTCCCACACACAAGTAGATTTCTTACTAAATTCTGGTCTTGTTTCTAACATTGTGCATATAGTACTAGTATTGGGCTGTTGGTGTAGGTGTTGTGTACCATTCTTGTTGGAGCTTTGAGATGCAGTTGATCATAACAAGTTCTACTACTAGTTTATGTTAAAACTTGGATTTGGTTCCTGCTCTTGTTTGGGCAGGTCCATAAGAAGTGGTATAAAATTTTATGCAGATACTACCTCCGTCCAGATATAATTGTACACTTTGCAGTACTCAATTTGTCCAGTAATAATTGGTCAGTATGGGATAGCCCTGTAGAATGTGTAGAATAAGTACTACAAGTACTACAACTATTGTGTCAACATTCATATTTAAGACTATTACTATTACTACTATTACTATTAGAACCAAAACAACACTAATTACTAGTATTGGTACTGTTGTTGAAGTCTGCCAGTACTGAACGTGCAAAGGCAATCTTTTCTGGGTCGCAAGTGATCAAAACTGGAAGTTCCCCTTGACGAGATAGCTTTTCTTTGCCAAGGTGTCGAATCTTATAAGTGTTGTCACCACCAACACCAAGTGACTCCTCCATTGCACACTGTAGTGACMAAAATACATTGTTTAGAGTCTCCCGTTTGGATTCCTCAAATGCAGAAATCACGTTGGCAATCAATGTGTCCATATTAGAAGACCACTTCTTGTGCTGAAGGCTTTGGATAGAATTGAAGAAACCCAAATCAAGAACATTAAAGTCAGGACTGTTTGGTGGTTGGGGCTTCACAACAATATTCCAGTTCCTCTCACAAGCAGCAGCAGTCACAGCCGCTCTGGTGTTGAGTGTATGAGGCTTAGCATTGTCTTCCTGAATAACACAACTTGGAAGACGATCTCCGTTGCCCCTGGGGAACTTCTCAAAAATGGCTGGTAGAACTTTTTCGATCATGAGGTTCCTGTACACTTCTTCATTGACATTAACAGGATGGGGTTCAATCGTACCTCGGGGTCGATTCACAGAAGATCTCTGTGYTGGTCTGTACTCCACAATAGGCCAAATACCAAGCTTACCATCAAACCAWGCAYYCCTA